GTTACATCAAGGCTCTGTCTTTGGCCAGTTTTCTCTTTACATTCCCTTCCTAATAATTCCCCCTTCATTCACTTGAGTGGCTTCCATGATCACCTCCATTTGTATAATTACCAACCTTTATCTTTAGCCCTAATCTCTTCTGATCCTAGTTCCACATATCTGAACTTCTTACAGGGTGTCCACTTAAATATCTGACTGACATCTTAATTCAAATGTCCACAGAACACAAATGAGACAGTTAGGTATCAGAGCACTAGAGCTGGATTCAAGAACTGAGTTCACATCCAGACTCAGATAAGCTCTGTGACCCTGGGCAAGTCATTTAACCTCTGCTTGTATTTTCTTCACCTGTAAAATGGGGATAATAATAGCACCTACCTCCCAGGGTTGTGACGGGATCAAGTGAGATAATTTTTGTAAACTGCTCTGCAAAATCTAAAGCATTAAAAAGCTAGCTATTTATTTTAATTGTTATCATTGTTGCTTCCATTACTATTATTAATTCACATTCCCCCAAACATTGGCTTTTACCAAAAATATGCCCTTTCATCTTGTTTCCCAGAGCGTGGATGGCATCACAATTCTAGTTACTAGTCTCAAACTCTGGCTGTCATCTTTGACTCTTCATATGCTTTAACATCAAAATTAATCAACTCCCAAGCTCTGTCATTTCCATTTCCACAATCTCCTTCCCATCAACCCTTTCCACTCCTGTTTTCACCTTTGAAGTTATCTCTCTCACCCGGACGACAACAACATAGCATCTACTAAGCAGTCTGCCTACCTTTAGTCTCATCCCTCTTCCATCCATCCTGGGAAATTCAGGTCCTCTGATTCCAAATTCAGGACCCTGTTTTATACAGTGCTGCCTCCTCGTTTATTTTCTTTTACAGTTATTTAATAAATGATTGCTGAACTGAATTTGGACACATAAAACCAGAAGCTGCAAAATAATGGCACATCCATTATGTTGCTTTATTTATTACTTATCAGCTATGATGTTCCAGTCCCACCCCTCCTCCACAGCTGCATCCAAAGGAGAAAGGAGCTGCTTTTAATGTCCTGGGGGAGCACCATTTGATGGGAGTGATATATTAATGCTCCAGCCATCAGCTCACTCCAGCTCCCTTCCCTCTTGGAAAGGGAAGAAGAAAACAGTAGCAGAGAAACTAGTGGTAGAGTGGCCCATTATTCTGGTTTGCCTTATTCATCCCCTGGCACTAACTTCAGAAACGAAGAGGATGCTCAGGAAGGATGAAGGAAGCAAAGAGGGAAGGAAAGCAAAGAAGGAAGCAAAGACGGAGGGAAAAATCCCCAGATAGGGTCCTCCTCTCACGATGGCCACAGTGTTTTTTCTTCAAGCATTTACCCTACTGGGCCCCAGGACTGATCTGGCCTGGCTAGGCAGGCACCCTCTTCTTCCCCTGTCTGCTTCACAAATGTCCCCCAAGAAGTCAAGGGCTTTGCTGAAGATGACCACATTCAACAGAGGAATGCTTTTCTGTCATCAGACATAAAGAAAACACCATCACACAAAAGGCACCACATTGCTAATTGAAAAGGAAACAAAAACACTTATTTTACGTGTTCTTTTCTCTAGAATAAATGAGCTAATAAAATTGCTGAGCGCCTCCTTGATCTTTGATAGACATCTTTTGCTGATCAGAATCAGCAGTTGAGGGTAACAACATAAGCATTAGACTAGGTAGCTGCATTCCTGGGTTCTAACCTGGCCTCTGCCACTGACCAGCTATCCAAGCTAGGACAAGTCACAGCCTTTGCTGAGCTCCAATTTCCCTGTTCTTGAAAAAGGGTAATACTAAGTCTCCTACTTCTTTCTCACAAGTACTGTGAGGATCAAATAAATGTGTGTCAAATATATTATAGAAAGGATCATAAAAATGTTATCACTGATGAAGCAATTTGCAAATGAAATACATGAAAGGAATCAAAATTTCTTAAAGACAATGTGTGTTACAGGTAAGTTAAAAAATTGGCTTTGTTTCTTATTCTGTTTGTGCTGTGTATCTGAGTAACAAAAAAATGTAAGGGCATAAATCTGATGTGGTAGTAATGGAAACAGATGAAATAGTAATGAACTGGTGCATTTAGAAAAGAAGAAAGTATTATTTTTTTTTCATTTTGTAAGTCAGGTGTTTAATTCCGTTATGTTTAGATGCCTTTGGGAAATGCTTATGGGTTACAAAATTTTCGGTGATATATGTGCACAAAACAATTCTCATAGGGAAACATAGCACATGATATTTATCATTACATTTGCACACACTTCCATTTACACTTAAAAAGAGCCATGATTCCATCAAGAGACCAGAGCACCTCCGTATTTTGGCAGAAAATGTCATGAGTTTCTATGGCTCAAAAAATTCTATCACTGGCCAATTTTGTGGTGAAGAGGCTTTACAAACTTAGCAATGCTGGACTTCTGGCAACCAACCCATAATCCATTGCCAAATCCATACTAAAAGCAATCCCCACTTTGGTAGATCCAATTAAACATTACACTTCAGTGGCAAAGCCTTTGAGAGCCCAGGGTCATCTCCATGTGATCCCTCTGGCACTAATTTCAGAACTGAAGAGGACATTTAGACAGCATGAAGGAAGGAACAAATGAGATGGGTGAAATTTCTCTGTTAGAATGAGGCACTGGGTTTCGTTGGAAGTCCACATGTACGTGAGTCAAAGTACATACGAGTCTTTTGAGACAATGAAGGAAAAAATGGATTTGGCAATATGATATAATGGGAAGGGTCCTAAACTGGAGACCTGGATATCTGGGTTCTAGTCAATGACATGAACCTGTTGTATGACCTTGGTCATTCTGGACCAAGAACTTCCTCTATAAGAGGAAGACTTTGCATTAGATTCATTTACAACTCTAAAATTTTAGATTCCTTTAGAAGTCTAAAATTTTATGGTCTAATTTCTTACATGCCATTTACTGCCAGTTATTTGGGAAAATACCTCAACATTTCTGCAAGCTAGTGCTGCTTGTAGATGGCACAGTTATGATACAGCATGATTGCCTTAATAACTTTGCCTCTGTCTTTGAGTTCTGATTCCTTCTTTTCTAGTCTACTAGTCTTCACTAAAGAATATACTGTTGCTTAATTGCTAACCTTTGTGACCCACAGGAGTTAATACAGTTTCTGGAAGTGTGTAACTTAAAACTGGGGAGTAATTTAGGCACTGGAACAATGCAGCTCATAAAGAATGATCAGATTATTCCACATACAGCCGCATAGCAGTATTTAGGCTGAGTAAGATTTCCTGGAATATCACAAACTACTCTGGAAACTCGAATCTGTGCAATTTCCAGTTCTTTGCCACCACAAAGAGAGCTTCTATAAACATTTTAGAACATATAGGTTCTTTTGCCCATCATCTGGGGAATGGCTGAACAAGTTGTGGTATATGATTGTGATGGAATACTGCTATTGTGCTACGAGAAATGATGAGCTCAGTGATCTTAGAAAAATATGGAAAGACTTGCACAAAATAATGAAGAGCGAAATGAGTAAAACCACGACAACGTTGTATACAGTAATAGCAATATTGTTTTAAAATGACTTTGAGCGAATAAGTTATTCTGACTATTATAAATACCCATATTAACTATAAAGAACATATAAAGAAAGATGTTATCTATATCCAGGGAAAGAACTGATAAACAGAAGTATGTATAGAATAATTTTGCACATATGTGTAGAGGTATATATATGTATATACGCACACACACACACACACAAACACACACACCACTATTTGTGTCTAATGGTAGCCATCTTTAAGGTTGAGGCGAAGGGGAAGGGAAGAAAAAAAGGAGGAAAAAAGGAAATTTACACAACAACTTTGTTGTGTATTTAAAAGGAATAGCAAGTTGTATATAGTGAACTTGCAGTTTCATGTGCAATCATCTTTTTTTATTGTACTGTGTTATGTAAATGCTTGTTTTATTCCATAAATTAAAAAACTGTAATCTGTATCACTAGCTTTTTTCTCTTCATGGGTCAGCCATGCTATGTCAGTCTATGCTATGTCTTTGTGAACACTTTCAGCATTTCAAAGCTGTGAGCCCTTTCCCTCACTTAGGAGCAGGACACAAACTATTGTAGTAATTTCTTACATTTCAGCAATAATTTCTAATTGGTTGTGTGCTCTGGCATGTTGTGAAATGGTTAAGTCATACGGCTATAGGCAACTTTCTACTAGTAGCCTGCATTACTTGGATTACTTAATAAATGAAAAATATGATCAATACTCCATCTGCAAAGATGAAAAATTCCACATATGTGAATGAGTCTATAATCCATTCATTGTTTTATGGGCCTGAAGTCCTCCAGGGAGTATTCCTGAGTGCTGGGTGATGGCCCTGAGTGATGAGCTTTACATTCCGATTGCTGAGTTAGCTGAAAGATGTGTGATACCACAAGTAGGCAGAGTTCCCTACTGACTACGCAGCCATGGAGATTCCTGTCTGATGTTTATTCCAGCAAGGGTAGGGAATATTTTCTGTGCATGAAATGTATCCGGTATACACATATTTTCATTAGGGATATACCAAAAAGCAAAAACTTTTTAAACTTCGTGGGCAAGGATATACTTGGAAATGAAATGAAAATATTTTGTGATTTATACAGTATACTTACCAGCCCAACACTAACACCTCATTCTGAAATATAATCTCTCGCTATGCTACTGGGCAAAGTGAATATATACAACAAATCACTAAAACAGAAACATGGGTCTCCTGATTTAAAATCACAATACAGCTAGGCCCCAATTAGTATGAATAATAACCCCCTCTCACCAAGTGGTTTCGTGTATTAAAATTTACACTATTTGAACTTATAATTATATAAAATATGGTCACTGGTTCCAGCTCAACGATAATACAACGTACGAATTTGAATAACGTGACTATATCAGATTTATTATCAGTACTAATTGGGACCTAGTTTTAATCAAAAATGGGGACTTACCTATAAAATATGATAGTAGTATTGCCAGGAGTACAGAGACCCCTACAGCGCAGAGGGCAGTGCATTTCCAACTACAGTATTTTGAAGACTTCTTGAATTTAAAAGCACTTCTTGATAGGGTGTTTCTAGGTAGTGGCCGAGTCGGGGGGGAATAAACAGAGCCAGATGCCATTGTGTATCCTGGTGTGGCAGTACTGAACAGTGGCGTCGTCCCTGTTCCTGTTTTGAATAGGAAATGCCTGTGGAAATGAAGAATATCACTGTAAGATACAAGTACGTGAAAACGTGAGACACAAGGTTGCTGAGATATCTATATCTTTATCTGTAGATATATAGATACATATGAGATATCTATATCTATGAGATATCTATAGATACCTAGAGATATCTATAGATAGAGATATGTCTGTAGATATACCTATAACAAGCGGGAAGATATCTATTTATATGTATGGGTATATCCAGTGTATAGAGAGATATCTCAAGGGATACATCTATATTCATATATCTCCTCTTCTTTATATACATTCTATATAGTTCATAGTATCTAAAAAGATTATGAAAGCTAATAAGTATTCTTAAAGACAAAGCAATGCCTGTCTCTTGGATACATCCCTTTTCGTACACTCAGAGCTGCCACCCTGGTTCAGGCCCTCACCATCTCATGCCTACAGAGTTAGTTGCAACAACCTGCTAGGTGATGGGCCCATTTCACGTCTCTCCATTCTCCATTCCATTGACAAAGTGATCTTCCTGAAGTGGAGATCTGACGACATCATTCTCCTCTATTTAATAAATTCTGGTGACTTCTTACTATCTCCAGGATCAGATGTGAATACCTCTCTGTGGCACTTAAAGTCATTCCCAACTGGTCAACCCCCTTTCTACCTTTCCAGTCTCTAATGTTATACTCTCATTCATATAGTCTAGATTTATATAGATCCAGTAACCAGGCCTTCTCACTGCTCCTCACCCATGACGCTCTACCTTGGAACTCTGTGCTTTTTTGTCGACTGTCTTTAGGCAAGGAATGCTTTTCCTTCTCATTTCCCCTTATGACTTCTCTGGCTTCCGTGAAGACTTAACTCAAATCTCGTATTTTTGCAAGAGGTCTTTCCTGGACCCTCCTTTCACTCCTTGCCTTCCCTGAGATTGGCCACCATTTGTACTGTGTTCCTATCTATCTAATATATATGTACACATACATGTATATGCATATATGTATATGCACATGTGTGTATCTAATATGTATGCATGCATGTCTATAGCAAATATATGCAAGTACATATACACAATGTATCTATGTAATCTGTATTATGGACATGTGTATATGTATATATGTGTATATGTTCATGTGCATCTACCTAATATGTGTATGTATATATGCATATGTCTAAATGTATCTATAGTCTGTATCTAATACACACTATACACACACTAATCTAGTGTGTATATAGTGCACATGTATATATATGTACAAATATGTATATATATGTACACTGTATCTAGTGTGTGTGTGTGTGTGTGTGTCTGTGTGTGTGTGTGTGTGTGTGTCTGTGTGTGTCTGTGTGTCTGTGTCTTCCTAATTTGAGGCTGTCTTCCCTGTTAGAAGATTTCTGCCTTACTTTGTATCTGGTCCTCTGCACAGTGCCTGGCATACAGTAAGCTCTTAATAAATGTTTGTTGACTTATATGTCTTTCCTCCTTGCTCTTCTTTTTCTTCTCTCTTTCTAGTTACTACACTCAACGTTAAATGCCTCCTTAAATATTTCATTGTGGCTTGGAGGTCGCGTTGGGTTCTCAAAGGCTAGGAGTGCAGAAACAATGCTAGGTCCTATTAAACTAGCAAAGCTCTCAGTATAGGCCTGGTAATAGGTCATAACCAGCCTACCTAAGCATACAGTGGCTTGTCCCCAAAAGGTGATCTTTTTGCCACAGCAGCTCATGAAGCCTAATACATGAGATGCCATGTTTAACAGTGGAAAGAGTCATGCACACAAATGAAATCAAGCATCCTCCATAGTGGTAGAAAAAGCCCTGCAAACATAGATTACCTACACAAGACACTGAACAAAGTATCTCCCACTACTCTTAAGATGAGCTGTAGGGGCAGCTAGGTGGCGCAGTGGATAGAGCACTGGCCCTGAAATCAGGAGGACCTGAGTTCAAATCTGGCCCCAGACCAAACACTTGGCACATATTAGCTGTGTGACCTTGGGCAAGTCACTTAACACCAAATGCCGCACTAAAAAAAAAAAAAAAAGATGAGTTGCGGGATGTGAACTAAATTATAGCACATATTGGGCCGATTCAGAACGTACTAAAACCACAAGAGTAGTTTATCAGTGTGACCTTAAACAGCATTGTATTGCTCCAGGGCTCTATACTTGGCTGGTATATCAACATTTTCATCGTCAGTGATTTAGATGAAGGCATGGATAAAAAGCTTATCAAATCTAGAGATGGCACAAAGCTGGGAAGGACAGTTAATACAATGGATGACATGGTTGGCAACCAAAAAATTCTCACTAGTCTGTAAATATGTGATGAAAATAATAGGATGAACTTTTTTTGGCGGGGGGCAATTGGGGTGGGTTAAGTGACTTGCCCAGAGTCACATAGCTAGTAAGTGTCAAGTGTTTGGTCTGAGGCCGCATTTGAGCTCAGGTCCTCCTGACTTTAGGGCCGGTACTTTATCCACTGTGCCACCGAGCTGCCCCCAGGATGAATTTTAAGAAGAATAAATATAAAGTGCTATTAAGAAGATAAAAAAAAATCAACAGTATAATTACAGGATGGGGTGGGACATGGCTAGACAATAGTTCCTATGGGAAAAATATCTGAGCAATTTAGTGGACTAAAAGCTTAATCTGCCCATCTAAAAATGTGTATGCAGTAGCCAAAGAGCCAATGAGATTTTTAAGTTGCATTAAGCGAAGCATAGTGTCCTAGACGAGGTAATAGTCACACCACATTGGAAGGAGTATTAGTTTCAGTTCTGGCCATCACGTTTTAAGAAGGCCACTGAGGAGCTTGAATGCAGCCAGAAGACAGAGATCATGATGGTGCTGGGACTTGGCCATACAAGGATCAAAAGAGAGGATGCATATTCAAAAGGAGAGAAGAGAAAGCTTAAAAAAGCAGCTATCCTTATTGGTTTGTGGGGCTCTCATATGGAGGAAGCATCAGAGTTGGTTTCATTTGGCCAGACAGGTTGTAAGTACAAACAATGGGGAGGCATATTTCAGTTCCTCATGAGGGGAAAAAATAATGATTAGGGCTGTCCCAAAATAGAAGGGTATAGTCTGGAAGGTAGAGAGTTGCTTATCACTGAAGTTCTTCAAGAGTAGTACCCATCATGAGAGCGTGCAGGGATGATAAAGGAGAGGGCAGATTGGGGGAGGGGGTAATCAGAAGCAAACATTTCTTAGGAGGGATTGGGTCAAAAGAGAAAATAGAATAAACTGAGGGTGGGTTAGGATGAAGGGAAATATAGTTAGTTTTCCACAACATGACTATTATGGAGGTATTTTGCACGACTACACATGTATAACCTGTATCAAGTTGCTTGCCTTCTCAATGAAGATGGGTGAGGAGGGAGGAAGGGAGAAAAATTAGAACTCAAAGTTTTAAAAACAAATGTTAAAAATTGTTTTCACATGCAACTGGGAAAAAGATATGCAGGCAATGGGGTACAGAAATCTATCCCACTCTACAGAAAAATAGAAGGGGAAGGGGAGAAGAGAAGGGGGGGAGAAAGAAGGCAGGGCCAATTAGGGGAAGGGGTATTCAGAATGCAAGACATCTTAGGGTGCGGGAGGTACAAGATGGGGAGAAAATTTGGAACTCAAAATCTTGTGGAAGTGAATGTCGAAAACAAAAAATAAAAAAATAAATAAATATATTATTCAAAAATAAAAAAAAAGAGTAGTACCCATCAATTGGGGAATGGCTCAACAAGTTGTGAACAACATGGTTGTGATGGAATACCACTATGCCATTAAGAAACAATGAGCTCAATGATCTTAGAAGGGTGTGGAAAGACTTGCACAAAATGATGAAGAGTAAAGTGAACAGAACCAGCAGAACATTGTATACAGTATCAGCAATACTGTTTTAAGAACACCTTTGACTAAGTCTTTCTGACTATTATAAATATACAAATTAAAAATAAAGGAGACAGGAAGAAAGACACTATCTGCATCCAGAGAAAGAACTGATAAATAGAAGTATGTACAGAATAATTTTACACATGTCTACCTATTTGTGTCTAATGGTAGGCATCTCTAGTGTGGGAGGGGGAGGAAGAAAAAAAGAAAAAAAAAGAAATGCACACAATAACTTTATTTTCTATTTGGAGGGAATAGCAAATTGTACATGGTCAGACTTGCAGTTTCATGTGCAATCATCTTTTTTATTGTAAAATGCTTGTTTTGTTCTGTGAATTAGAAATAAAATAAATTTTTAAAAAAGTAGTACTGGAGAGCAACATTTCAGAAATGTTGCAGAGTGAATTCTGGTTGTATTAGAGAACCTCTGAAGTCCTTTCCAGCTCTGAGATGGGATAGTTCTAACCCTGGAAGTGTGAAACCTATTCCTATTGGGAGAGTTCTTAGAATTCTTTATAAAAAAAACTTTAAGACCATTTATAATTCACACAACCTTAGACTGGGAACAGACGTTAGAAGCCATTTAGTCTACCTTCATGAATCTTCCTTATAAAATTCTCAGTAAATGGTCACCCAGTCTCTGCTCAAACACTTCTAGCCTCAAGGAACTCACTACCTCACTTTCAGTTCAATTGTCAGATGGCCCTATCTGCTAATAATTGCTTCTTGTTCAGCTATGTCTGACTTTTTGTGAGCCTGTGGACCATACTGTCCATGGGATTTTCTTGGCAAAGATTCTAGAGTGGTTTTTGATTTCCTTCTCCAGTGGGTTAAGGCAAACTGAAGTTAAGTGACTTGCCCAGAGTCACACATCTAGTAGGTCTCTGAGGTTCAATTTAAACTCAGGTGTTCCTGACTCCAGACCCAGTGCTCTAACCACCTAGCAACCTAGCTGCCTTCTACTGTTTCGATGAACAAAAATCTGGTATCCATTAACACAGCACAATCCACCACAAGGAAACTAATATCACTCATTTTTAGTTACACCTGACATTTAACATCTTCAGAAACACAGGCTTTAGGAAGTCAACTCAATTATCTGCATACACATCATCTATTCTGCCAATTAT